AGGAGCAGGTGACAATAATGATCTCTCTCTCAGAGGCTGTCTTCAAGCCAGGTGGATGTCTTCCCTGTGGGAAGACACAGCAGTGGCACAACAGAGTCTCTAGCCCTGGATGAGAGCCCTATGTGACAAAAAGCTGTATAAAACTGACAAACCATAGGTTTACAGAAAAGCTGCTAAACCACATTGGCATAAAATTCACAGCAATTCCTTGCTGTTTCTTTTACTGTAACAGGTAAGCAATTCTTTATTCATTCCACAGGTAATTTAACTAGGTTTTACTTTCACAGCTTCAGCTAACTGGGATTAGCAGCTCAGTGTGTCACCATTTGAGACAAGCATCCATGTGAAGTAGATTGTTGTTTTCTTAATCTCTTTAGTTACCCTGGGGAGTTCAGACACAGATTTGACCCTGGCTGTGGAAAGGAAGGAACTGTTAATTTTTCTAACCTAAGGGTCGGATGAATTGATAATTACTAAGAATACATTCAAGGCATATTCAGTGGCTTTTGGTTTCTTTTACAAAGTCCTTAGTTCCAGCTCAAATTACTGCATATGTTTTGTGTCCTCATTTCTCTCATCTTTTTTCCCTTCATTAGCAGACAGAGACCATCACTGGTACTGGCTGTGTGGCCAAGATGCAAAATCCCACCATAAGCACATAGGTGGAAATACCCCTGCCCCAGCAGATCAGCACATCAGATGACCTAAACTCTAGACTTTAATGCCAATTCTGATTTCAGCAGCAGAATTCACTTGTCTTAGTTGTATTGCTCCTGATCTGTACTGGTGTCAGGATTCAGATCAGCTGATGCAAAAACATGGGAAAATGTAATAAAATAGTAAAATAGAGGACTATCCCAATAAGGGAATAAGAAATAAACAATTTCACTTCAAAAGGACCCAAAGAGGCTACATGAAAAAATAATAATGTGTCTCTAATGTTTTTTCCCATCCCATCAAGGCAGTCATCTCCAGCATGATCTCCTTGGAAACACTGGCTGTAGAGAACCACTCCCTCCCCAACAGACAGCGCACGTGTATACTGGCAAGTTCATCCTGTGGTCCTCTGCCTCATATTTCTTTCTAGTCCCACTTTTAGTCATTTTGCATAGCCAGATAGAAACATCCTTTCCCTGAGACAGTGTCAAGCTGAAGCCCCATGACCCTGAGGTCCCCAGGTGAGTCCATTAACCTGGTGAGTGAGACTAATACACTTAAAATTTGCTTTCAGGCAAATGCTAATCATTCCCCACTCTGGGCAAGCAACAGAAGACCTGATGCCCTTCCCGCAACCTATCTCCTGGGCCTGGGTGTCCTCACTGCCCTGGTGAGAGTGCAGCATCTAACCAGCTCCCTTCTTCCAGCCACGAGCAACCAACCCATCAAGAGCCTGCACAGGGTGCTGATAATGAGGCTTTTGGAAAACACACTTTGGGAAATTTGCAGCTCATGCCTCTGCTTTCCAGATGCTCTTCTGTGGCCTCATCAATCTGAAATCTGTATAGTAGAGACAGCCTCATGGTAGCTTACAGAATGGACTCAGAGCTCAATGAATACTTAAGGCAGTTTAAGTATAATACAACTGCAGCAGAAAATCAGCTGCATTAGGGAGTATTCACGTAAACCAGTGTTTACTCCCTTACATTCCCAGAGGCAGCTTTTCTCCTTGGCACAGCCATTCCCACTGCGCTAGCAACGGGGCTGCAGCAGCCAGTAAACCCTCGCCCAGGGGACAGTTTGCATTCCAGGTTCCTAAATATCTTCAAGCCTCAGTCCGGATCTCAGCCTTGTTTGGTTTTGCTCCTGCAGCAGCCGAGCTTCATTCAGCATTCATGCAGACATTAGTTCTGCCTGTCTGCAGGCATCCCAGGGGATCATTGTGTCCTTTCATAATTAGGCTGAATATTAGGAACAGTTCTCTGCTAAAATTCATAAGAGGCTTCCAAGATTGGATCCTTTTGCACATGCCTATACCATTGGTTTGATTTTAAGCTACAGTGTGAGTCAGTAGCTGGGTTTTTCATATACTCTGGCTCAGCATAAAGGGGTTAGTTTAAGTCTCGAGCACTTGATCTTTGTACTTGGACAACGTTTTGCAATGCAACATACGCTGTCAGCCCTGAGGTTACTGTAACTTATATTTTGCTAATATGCCTGCAGTGCTAAGCACATGGTACACAGACCCACGGGGGTGGGCTTTTCCAGACAGGCTGCAGGTTGAAGTTAAAGATCAGACACGCGAACACTTACCTCTCATCCAGTGAGCTCAGGCTTTCCACCCTCCTTCACTCCAAAGTTCCCAGGAAGATTTATTTGGACTGGGAGCTGCTGTTCTTAAAGGTCCAGGCTGCCTTTATTGCCTGGCAGGGACAGCACTATTCTCCAGCAGCGGATAGCGCTCTTATCATGTTTTATAATCTTACAATGTTTTATAATCTTCTCTTATAATGCTTTATAATCTGATGGTTTTTATTGGTTTAGTTGTATTGACATATGCACTAGAAAGTCCTGTCATGCAATTCATTGTGTAAGGTGCTGTACAGAGCCTGAAAATAATCCATCCCGTCCTCAAATTGCTTTCAATATTGAGTAGATTTTTAACCTCCCACATTACTGATTGAAAATCGAAGCCCTCTAGGAATGCAAAGGAGAAATTTTGTAAGTGGTTATAACCCCATCCTCAATCCCATGGGTCACCCAGGAGCTTCAGCATCTGGGGCACTTTGATGGCTACATGTATGCTGAAGCAGCAAAGGAATTTAGCAAGGTCCCTCAGCTGTCTAAATTCTTGGGTTCAAAGACAAGCTCATCCTTCAGCAGCAAGGATGCTGCTCCCGGAGGGCACTGTGCTCACTGAGCCTGCTGTGCCCTTAAGGATTTGCTTCTGAAGTTAGTGATAAAGAAAAAGCAAACTAGTGCAATCTGCGATGAAGGGCAACCTTTGTCCCCACCTTCCAACAGAGAGCTTCATTTGCTTGCTCAGCAATAAAATCTGCTTCCATGGGCGTGCTGAGCAGGAGGGCCAGAAGTGCCGAGCTGCGCCATGAAGTGGGCAGCAGCTGGAGCACACGCTCAAGGAGATGAGTCAGCTGAAAGTGATTTCTCCTACTATTGTTTGCTCTTCACTTGCTGAATCTCTGAAGCAATGGAGGTAACAGCACCTTCCCCTAAGCCTCTGAAACAGCCCAAAGCACAAGAGACACCCAGGCACACGGAGACAAATGGTGTTTTCTCGTGTTTCCCATGTTTGTCACAGAATGTTAGGGCTTGGAAGGGACCTCAAAAGATTATCTAGTCCAACTCGTCCCCCCAAAGCAGGATCACCTAGAATAGGTTCCAGAAATGATGGAGCTTCTTCGCTCTGCATGGACCTGCCCCTGTGAGACCTGGCTGGACTTTTACCTCCATCCTGACACTCTGCCTCCTTAAGGTGGGGAGCAAAGAAGGATACAGCTTGCAAACAAACCAGATCCTGGGACAGTTTCTTCTGATCATCTGTGTTACAAGCTGCTGGTCCACACTTACAAGCAGCCCCTTTTTCTTTGGCAATCCACTACAGGGCAAGCTGTTAACATTTCATTTCATGGGGTAACCTCATGGGCCATAAGAGACTATTGCACACATGCAGCCAAGCACATAGAGATGCATTTGGGAAGATGGGGATTTGGGGAGCTCACTGTGTCTTTATGAAATACGTTTTAAACGTACACAACAGCAGCAGCTTTATTAACTATAAATTGCTATTATAGAAAGATGTGCAAGGGTCAGTGAGTTATTGCATTTTTTAAAACCTTAGCTGCAAAATATTAGCTTATACAAATAATCAGGACAACTGCAGTTATTAATGATTTTTTTTACTTTGGGAATACACGTAATTTGGGGAACAAAACAGCTGAATACTTCCACGTCACAATTCTTGATTTTTTTATTTAATTATAATTCACATATAATTTACTTAATTACAAGTGCATAGTTGTAATGTTTCCATGATTTGTACATAAAGGAAAATCAAGCATCTTCTCAAAGGGCAAAGTGATTACATTTGAGAAATTTCTCATACTAAAAATCTTAGCCTTTAGGTATCTGATTAAGATTCATCGTCTCTCCTTATATCAATATAATTAGTAACTGCAAACACATCCTCAGTAGAACAGATATGTTTCTGAAAAATAATTCTGCACATATGTTTGAGTTCAGCCATGATAATTAATGTGCAATAACACTGGGAGAAGAAGAGCACTCCCATGAGAGAAGCTTGTATTCCCAGTAGTCCACGGGTGAGTGGGAGCAAGTGAAATGCATGGAGGATGCTTTCAGTTCAAAGAAATACTGCTGCCTGGTTATCCCACTGACAGAACAGGAGTTGTGTAAATTCTGAAACAACATAGAACTGTCCACTAATATATCTCGTCATCAGTTTTCGGTCATAAATAGCCAGTCCATAAGTATCAGCACAGCGCAGCACAGGCCTGGGACTGACAAGCTGAGAGGGTGTTGTGAATGTGAGAGGGAAAAAAAAGGGCAGGTGTATGGCTTCCTGTAGGAAACTCAGCACTGGCTGTCTTTGTTTTCCTGGCTATTAAATTCGAAAAACAATACGGTATTCATTTAAGAGGTGGGTATGACTTTCCTCAGGTGGCAGCGCAAAGTAATAAAGAAAGAGACATACAGCTTCCTCGCTCTGCCCTGCCACTCTAGATGTATTTGGAAAAGCTTTTAAGAGATGAAAGGAGTAGGGGATGGGCAGAGACTGCTTCCAGCTAAGCACAAACCAAAGGGGAGTGATTTGATTGAGCTAGGAAGAAATTATTTGTACCCAAATCAAAAAGAGATGCAGGAGCAGTTGTGAAAATCAATTTCTTTTCCTGATTCATGCTAATATGTTCTGCCTTACACTGGTGTAGATGGAAAGGGAAAGCTTAAACTTTAGATGTTTGTCAGAAATAGGGAGAAGGATTGCATGTAATGCCACTGGATTGAATTATAATTCAGGCAGTGAGTTAAAACAAAGAAAACCTGCTTGTATTGATGGGTACAAATTTCTTGTCTAGTGTTACATTGAATTTCTCTTTCAGTGTTTTCTCCATTTCTTCATCTGCAAGCATTCTGATTTCTACCAGATCCATATTATCCTTATAGTTGAACTTTATCTCGGTGAGTTTCCACCCCACGAGAGCCCGGATGCCATCAGCGGTCTGCAGGCTGCAGATAGACTTTGTCACACAGATCGAGTCCGGCGCAGTCTGCAGGTCGGTGTTGCAGGTTCTGAACTCTTCAATGTCTCGTGGCTGAAGGGTAAAGAGATAAATCGGACGGCAAACCTCTTCTTCCACGTTATGAGAAGTGGAGATGCTCTGGTTGGGAACCAGCTGCTTCCTTTTAACCTTCTCAAAGTACCAGACCCCGCTCTCCTCCAAGAAGCGAAAGACCCCAGGGGTCTGTGGCTGGTCTTTTCCTGAAATCAGCTCCATTGGCTGCCACATCTGGTAGGTCATCCCAAATCCACCATCCACAATGTAGGATTTGCCGTCAAGCACCACTTTTAGCAGCAGATGATCCATTTCGTCTGCATACGCGCTGATCTCTGGGAAATAAACTCTTGCTCCCAGAAGGGTGATGTCATAGCCGAGGGTTTTCAGGACCCAAGATAAAATGTGGTTGTTTTCCATGCACCAGCCCCCACGATTCTTCCTCACTATCTTGTTGTAAGTCGCTTCCAGGTCCAGCTCAATGCTTTCCCCACAATGGATGCTGAGGTTTTCGAAAGGGACCGCTCGGATGTGGTGCTGAAATATATCCATCAAGGTAACCAGGTCTGGCTTATCATAGGAGCCCTGGTAAGAAATTCTTTTGAAATACTCCTTGATGTCCATGCTGCCTCCAAGAGGGTGGAAAAAAATAATAGGTTGTGTCAGAAGTGGCGGAAGGATCTTCCCTGTCCCTTATAATGGGTGCTCATCAGTAGGGGAAGCCACCTTGGAAGAGGAGTGGGATTTGACTAATGGCCCTATCAAAGGCAGCTGAGTGTGAGTATTAGCTCTGAGGGAAGCCAATGGCATGCTGCTGATGAGCACAAATGTTATTTTTAATTGTTTCTTTTACAGCTGTGATGAGAGGCTCCAGCTGTGCTAAGCACATTTCAGTAGAGAGTTCCTGCCCAGCAAAGCTACAAATCTCCGTAGGAAGGAACAAAAACAGTAGCAGCACTGTTTTCCCCCTAGAAATTATAGGAACTGAGAGTCTCTAGAGCTGAACTGCTTTACTCATGGTTTGACTCAGCGAAGCAGAAAACAAACCCACCCACTCTTACAGAGCAATCCAGACCCTCCTCTGCAACCAAATCTGAAACAAATCTGTCTTGCCGTGATAGTTCCTTTATTATGTAGGCAGCCTGGCATGAGCTGGTCTTACCTGCTCCTGCTTTCCATGCTGGTGGCAGGGGACACAATGTGGAGCACAGAAAGGGCAGAAAAGGCTGTGGGAAGTTTTTTGCTGCGTGGTTTTTGCTCCCCAGCTCTGCTAATCACAGCCCTGTGCCAGCTGCAGGAGGAAACCAGGGTTTGGGCCAAAACTATGAGTTTCAGGGGCTTTTATGTTTTCTGACATCCTTTTTTGGGATGGATTTGCTCCTTCAACTCATAGTCTTCCTAGCAGTGGGTGAGGACCAGGCATCACCCTCCCTGGCACGGCAGAAAGGGTCGGGTGTGTTTCATGAGCACGGGGCTGGGAAGCAGCTCAAGCCCTCCCAGCTCTTGATGAGAAGGAAACAAGAAAGGGATTTTGATGTAGTGAAGTACTTTTGTCATTCCTCCACAGGCACAGCTAAATTTCAGACAACTCTAAGTATGGAGCGATGCTGTTCAGATTATTGACCCAAGAGGTCCCCAAATATTCTGAAGTTCCTGTATGTGATTCTTAAGGGAAAACCGTGAGGAGAAGTCCAACTGTTCCATCTGGATTAAATTCTTAATCTGATGAAAAATGACACTCCCCAAGTTGTATGGGAATTTTGGCAAGATACTGTCAGTATACAAACAAAGCAGTGAAAATGAAAATTTTTCATTTGGTATGATATCCTGGCAGAAGCAGAGGGTTTGGCTCCCCACATTTCCTAACCTTTAGGAGAGAAGCATTACAGAAATCTCTTGCTATTGCATCGTGGCCACTGCCCGGATGATCCACCATCAGACTATTGTTAAGGGGATATTCTCCTTTCAGCTTTTAGCTTGTTCCCAAATTTTTCCCCAAAGCCCCAGAGCTACAACTCTATCCATTTTTGAAAACTTGGAAGAAACTTAGTTCTTGCTGTATGAACTTCAAAGCACCATCACCAGCAGTGAGCTGGTTTTCCCTTTCTTTCCCCCTTTCTTTCACTTTGCCACAGCAGGAAAAACACAGATAGTAACTTAAAGGGTGGGGTGGGGGGGTTCTGTCTGTCTGTCCACCTCGTGTGGTGTTTATGAGGCCTTTTCCACTGTGGTATCTGACATAAGTCAGATGGCACGAATGCCTGATCTGCTCGGGGCTGACAACTGAGCAAATAAACCAGCCCACCTATTACATTGAGCGGCTCAGCAGTCCCCGCTCTGCCGTTACACCATTTTCTGCTGTGTTTTGTCTTCAAACAGATTTAACTTCCTGGTTGGGCTCAGCTGCCAAGATTCAGAGTTTGAAAAAACAGGCTTACCTGGAAAATCAGTTCAACCACCAGCGTATCTCCAGGGTTTGGGGGGATGGTTTTAGGCTAAAACAAGTGGCGTGGCTGGCTGTCCTTCACCTGGCACAGGCAGGGCTTGAGGACTGTTCTCCAGCTCCTCTTCAGGGGAATGTCGTTTCCCTCAACTTCCTTTCACTTGCCTCTCTCTGATTGTGAAAGCTGAAAAAAAAAAAAAAGAAAAAAAAAAAAACGAGAAGGGTGGAGCATGAGAGCTGTTGGGAGGGCGCAAAAGCAACAGCAAGCACTGCCTCAATGTGAATGCAAAACCTGGTTGCTGTTAGAGCAGAGGCTGCTTCACATTTTTTGTTTGTTTCATGCTTTCTGCCTCAAGCTGAGATAGTTTCAGGAGTTTCAGGACCTAGCTGAATGCACTCAAGTAATTTTTTTTTTCCCTGGGTACGAGGTTACTATTTGTTTGGAAACGTGGGGAAGAAATCTTGCATACTTTCAATCGGAGAAGCTTTTTGCACCATTTCTGAAAACGAGCAAGGTTTCAGTGCAGTAATTTGCACCTGTCACCCCCTTGCCCCAACCTTGCCCACAAGGACTTCAGCCCTGCCTTTGCTTAATTTGCTCTCTGTGATTTACATGCATTTTTTTTTTAATTACAGTAAGTATCATAGAATATAAGAAAGCACTGGGACAGCAGAGTATATCCTTTGGTCTTTGCCCACAAGTATCACCGGAGGGTGTCACAGAGGTGAAGATGCAAAGTGATGACTATGGAGTGCTAGCACACAGATAGCTCCTCCATCCATCCTTTCACTGTGTTTCATGCTGCTTTTGTAGCTACCAATCTTGCTTGTATTTTGCCAGGTGAAGTCTTGCTAATTCTCACATATTTATATCTGGATTCTTTCCTTTTAGTTCTCCAAGAGCAATTGCAGTCCTTCACATTTAGTGTCAATGGCAAGTTTCATTCAAACACCAATTTATTGGAATAATTAGCAGAGACAATAAATCAGACCAGAGATGTCTGTGGTAACTTATTACACAGCTCCACTCCCATATCAAAAAAATTGATTCTTTATCATCCAGTCGATGTTTGACCCTGCAAGCAAGAACCAATGTCCAAGCCGAGAGGCGTTGAAGGGACTGGATGACCTGCCCTCATTGGGCTCCTCTGGGCAGGTCCAGTTCATCTTCCTGGATGAATGTTGCTGTACACGGAATATCCCCTTCTCTTCCCACAGGCTAAGAGTCCCTCATTTTGAAAAGGAGAAGCCAAAAGCCAAGCAGGCAGACCCACAATCCTGTTGGGAATTGTACTGTAAAGAAGCCCGTGGACCTGTCGCTGTGTGGTGTGTGAGCAGACCTGTGCTCCTTGTCCAGAATCGTTTGGGGTCAGAGATGGTGCCAGAAGTGGGCACTTGCTGTGCTCCTTCAGGCAGATGTGTGAAGTGGTTGGGGATCTGTTCCAGCTAACTTCAGGGTCCTGTCAAGACGCAAGTGTTTTCTAACCAAGTAGGAGAAAAACCCATTTCTCCTCGTACTATGATACTCATCTTTTCTCAACTCCTCTCTCTGCAACATAGCTCTGATACTGAGCTTTTTCTTCCCATGTCTTTCAAATTCTCAACCCAACTCACTATCCTGTGCCATCATTCTTGTATCACTCTCCTTTTTCTTCCCATCCTGCACCTTTTGCTCCTCAAGCCATTAAAACCTGGAGCTCTCCCAAGGCTGTCAGAGGGCAAAGCTCACTCAACAAACACTAAAGCTCACAAAAGGCTGATCTTCATCCAGAAGCCTTGCCAGTCTGTTTGCATTTCAGCTCTGTTCCAGGTCACTGGGGCTAATTTCAGGCTTGGTGGGGCAATAAACCACAATAACGGCTGCTGGGTAATGTGGCCACGATATGCCTGAACTCCTCCCCAAAAGCAGCAAAGGGCAAAGACCAGCTTGGGCTGCCTGGGTTGTAGGGAGCAGCACCACGGGGTGAAGGTGCAGACGGGAATGCCCTTGCAAGGGACCTTGCTGTCCATGTGGACACTGTAATGCAGCTTCCCAACCTTGGCAGGAGCTTTTTCCAGAAGACCCTCAATGTAATTACACTCGCTTTTATTTATTTATAAGTTTAAACTGCCAACAGCATTTAATTTATTACTGAAAGTCTTCTCTCATCCTAACTCTCCTGAGATTCTGCATCAAATATCCCTTTCTCCACACTTTAACAGAATATTATATGCTCCAATATTTCCCTGGGGAAATAAAAGCATAGGGTGCCCTGTCCGGGGTAATAGTCAAGTGTTTGCTTACTGTTAAACATCTCTCCTCTACAATGACCTCTGTGATGGGCTGTATAATAACGCAAGGCTTATATTATATTATATTATATTATAT